CTACAAGATGTAATGAAAGATGATGCTTTTCTTTTTGTGTTTTTTTCTGTAATAAAACTAATAAAAAAAAATTATATATATAAAAAACCCTAAATATCATCCTGCTTTTTAAGCATCTAGCAATGCATTTCTTCTTGAGCAGTTTTTCTCCAGGATGTATCGCTTCCCTAATAAGTGCTTAACTGCAAGTTAACCAGCTTTGCTTGTGCCCTTAATTAGTTGATTAGTATCCTCCCATCGGCTTGCTGCCTCAAATGACAAGGCCTTAATATTATACCCTTAAGGGTTTTGCCTTTAACTGGTTCTACCACATTCCTAAGACTAAAAAAATATATCAGTTTTTCTGATTTTTTACTAGAAAAAATAATTTCATTTCCCTGTAGGCCTATTTTTTTGTTTCTCACTATAATTTTTGTTGCAGATACCAAGGAAGTTAAATAATTACTGTTATTATTATTCCTGTTCAGATACCTGGCATAATTTCTAGATTATTTATGCTTGCAATGGGAGACTATGTCCTTTTAACCTAACCCTTAAAAAAGTTATCTAACCAGAAAATCTATTTAGAAAAGATCCTAACTGAGCAAAGGATACTCCAAAAAGAATCCAAACACATCAATGGCAATGAAATTCTGGAGAAAATGGGATGAAATGGAAGTAGAAAGGGATATCTTAGTGAAGGGCATCATAGACTGAATGGAACCGAATACTCCCTACTACAACTTTGTTAAGAAGTAAAATTTAAGTAGAAAAAAAATAACTAAAGTTAGTTTCTTTAGAATTTACCTTTTGGAGGCATGCTAGAAGCAGATGGCACCTGTGTACAAAGGGTCAGGAATTCCACAAGGAGGAAAGCACATGTGATCTTCATGATGTATTCAGAGAGTAGATCCAAATGTTTTAAAGTGAACCAGATTTATATTTAAGTTTCTAAAGGGGAGGGATTGATTCATAAAAGGAAAGAATCATACTTCATCTTTGTCAGAAAGACTTCCTTCAATCTCTCAATTTTACGTCACCTATATCCCATTCATTTTTTGGAGAACTGATATCTGACCTATGACATAAATCAGCCCAAAAACTGGACAGTACCCTATTATTAAGTAGTGTTAATTATGGGTTTAGGAACAGGAATCAACTGCTTTTTAGATGCCTGGACTTTGACAATCATTACATTGTCAAAGTGACTCAGCAATTAGTGGTTACTCCAAGTCAGACCAGGAATAGCATAGATGATAGTATCTCCTGTAGAAAGACCTTGGCTTATCCTTCAACATACTTCAGAACCTTGCAAAATCCGAACACCAGATATATGCACGAAAGAGAATGATTCCATATGGCTATATGTGTTTCATTTATTTTATTCATTAATTTTGAGATCTGTTCTAACATTTTTTCTAAAGTATATTATCCTATTAAGATTGTGCAGCATGTAGATAAATAAACTGGATAGAAAAGTTTTCTTCAGATGAACAAAACTAAGGATATGTTAATTTATTTGGTAGAAAAATTATTTTGTTTACATTATTTATATTTTTATTGAGTCAGAATCATAGAATTGGAAAGGGTTTTCTAGACTGCTGAGACTACATCCAACATAGTAATCCAAATTCATTTTTGTCCTTTCTTTACAAACAAAATACTTAATAATAACGCTAGTGTGGGTCGCTGGAACTGGCAGCAACCCAGACCTGCCACGCCCCCGAACAGGTTCTCTGGTTGGCACCGTTGGCACCGCCATCTTGTTTTTAAGTTCTGCGCATGCGCAGAACAAGTTCAATTGAATTGTGCTTGTGCATGCACATGCAGCACACACACAAGCAAACAAGCAGTAAAGCTGGCCGGAACCCACCCCTGTCTTCATTGGCTACCGACTTAATATCACCACTGTCACAAAGATTAGAATCATGGAA